CCTGCAGGACTGGTGAGATTGTATCTTTTCTAAAATATTATCAATGGTAATGTTTTAATATTTTCAATGGGATTATAGCTATACATGAATAATACTATGCCCGAATTACATCAGGAAAAAAATAAATCATTCAATTTTTTCCCCCCCATCACTACCTTAAGAAATACTCCCTTGATGATGATGATGATGATGATTTTTTTTCTTCCTAGAGGGCTCTTACAGAGCTAGGTTTGGAATTTGTGAATGGCTGGACCATCAACATCCAAATGAATCCAGATTCTAATCCGCTTCATTGAGACATCCAGTCTTACAGTTTCTTTCACTGATGTTTCCTCTCTGCATTACTGAAGGCATGTTAGAGAACCACAGAATGCTCCTGACCTACTTGTGCACAACAGTTTGGGAATAGTTTCCTTCTACTTCTTTGATCAAGAAGGGAGGTATAATTAAAACATCAATTTATGTCAGACCTTGCATTTCAAATATTTCTGGATACCTATAACCTTCACAAAATATTGAAGTATAAATGAACTTTTATAAAATTTGTATTTAATAAATATAGGTAAGATACATGTAATGGCCACAATATTAGGGATCCTTTCAAGTAATGTGATAAGATATGCAAACAGCTCTAGAGAAGAACGTAAGTTGGTTTTGAAATATTGTTAGGCTATACTAGTGGCATAGGTTTCAGCCAAGATTGTGACCAGGATCAGAGCACATGGGATTATTTGGATTTTGTAACAGACATTTAGGAAGGTTGACAGCAGCAAGTTCAGCTCTGCTTTGGTGACCAAAATTGTAATCATTTCTGAGAAGGTTTTAAAAAGATCGAGACGTACCGTACATAAGCACCCTTTCTCCTTTGCCTTCAGAGCTTGCTTCCCTCCTCCACCCCATCTCCACCTCCACTGCCCCTTGGTCACCCCTCTTTCTGCAGGGGGGGCCCTCAGTATCCTCATCCTATAGCCCGGAGGTTGAGCCTAAGTGGGTTTAGCCAAATTTACAATGACTAAACACTCAAACAATTCCCCCCCAATACATTTAATTATTGGGTGTTGTTATTCCTTGTGAGAGTGATTGACATCTGGTCTCAGGCGGACCACACTTTACCTGGAATTCCCAATATTTTGATCAGCGAGTGGAAACATCATCTACAGGCCATGAAGTCACACACTGTCCTTCCAGAAAAGGGTCTTCATTATGCCAGCCAAACCAACACTTTCTTTTCAGCTTTACCCGTCAGGTCTTAAACTTGCTCTCATTATTTTCTGAAGAGGCCTAACAGGCGGCAGAGCTGCAGAGGAGATCTCTGGAAGTGGTTGTCGGGAAGGGCCGGAGCAGTCGCTCAAGGTAACCCAGGGGACAATGACAAGCTGCCTCCGGGTCTCGTTTATTTCATGTGCCATTTGTCCCTCTGACACAAAATACTTACTGGACAAATAAAATTAATGTGTTTGCCAGCTTCCTGCTCTCGGTGTCCTTCAGCACAAACAACAGGAGGAGGCAGGGGAGTTAAGGAGGAGGAATGAGAGGTGCAAGGTAGCCGCATGGAGAAGCCATTCTGTCTTTTAATTAAACCCTCTCCCTGGCAGCATGCTTCACAGCTGCAGAAAAATCATCAGCTGGTTCAGTATGGAGAGTCAGAGCTGCAGCTAAAGAGGAACATGAGGTATATGGTGCATTTCTCCATTTTAACAGACCACAGTCACAGACATCAAGGATCTGTTGATGTACCTGTCTGTACTGATCACAGTCAAACTACATCTTACTTGCTCTTAGTGCATATGGAAGTCCCAGGCTACCTTTTTAATTTTTTAACTCCTCAATCGACCCACACGCTCCTGTGAAAGATGTCATAAGGCAAGAAATTTAGGCACAGTTCAGGGGATCAGATAAGCCTCAGGCATCTTAGAATTTGACCCCTGCATGAGCACCAACGCCTAGATTCAAGTAGCATTCTTTAACATAGAAATACTTTTTTATAAAATGATTTCTAATCAAATTATGTTAAATTTTGAGAAAAGCATCTCCTTTTTCAAAGCCAACCACGTCATTTCAACAGGCAAAACATAGCTGCAAATCTGAAAAGAGATCACAATTAGACCTAAGCAAAAGGCACTTTCTCATCAGCAGGAGTTTTACAGACATTACCAGCCTACCTATTTGAAAAAAGTGCTCTTTGCTGAACATAGTATCAATCAATTCCACAGAGAAGCATTATGGTTAAACTAGCAGTTTGCCTCAGATACAGTTCAGATACATACCAGCAGGATCACTTTCAAGGAGTCATAAAATGATCCATCAATGAAGCTCTCAACTCAAAATCCTCAAGCACTTTTCTTCACAGCACTCTCTCAAAACCAGAATGATTCTAGATTAAGCTTTGAGATTTTTAGGAAAATTCTATGAGCACTATACAGTGGCTTCATAGACACTATGTATTCCTAGTAATGTTAACAAGCAGATAGAACTGATGTTTAATTCTGGTTCTTCCATTGATGAGGTCCTAAGAAACTGCCTTTCTATCATCCTGGTCCTGAAAAAGCCTTGTCTGTTAAGTGCTGGTTTTAACTAGGAACTTCTTCAGCAGCACTAACCAGAGCCTGTAACTGATTCTCTTAACACTTTATCTGCATTAAAACCTTGGTTTTAAACATATACTCATCTGCATGATTTCCAATAATTGAGGCACACAATACTTTATACAACCTCTTGATTTCTGGCCAAACAGCTCCTAAAAGGTGACCAATGATGAACAGACACAGGTGAGAATGTATCAGACACACCCACCGTGAGTCAGCGCTTTTCCTTCTGCTGAAGTCCAATTGGTTATTTTTCAGTTAATTCACCTGTATGAGGGCAGTCCTGAAGCTCACTAATTAGCACAGGGTTCTCACCAATTACAAATCTCGATCATCTAGTTCAGAGCTTAAAACAATTTAAAAATGCCTCACATGGAAAATTAAAGCAAAATAAACTGTGTTTAAGAACCCAGGCTGGAGCAAACAGCTCAGCAGACACAGAATCAGAACCCCATTACAGCAGGTATACAAAAACAAGTCAACAGGCTGCTTTAAACTCAATCCATTATATATACCATCATAACATTAGAATAACATTGCTGACTTGAAGTTTTTTTCTTCCGCTATTTTTAAAGGGTTCAGTTTCCTTTGATAGAAAGGTAACTCATAGCCTGATGAAACACATACTGTGGAGGGACAGACATAAATACAAAGTAAGAAGATTTGTTCAACAGCTACATGCACTATTATTCTACAGTCATGATCTTCAACACCAAGTGGTTTGAGACTCTGCTACTAACAATTAATCAATTGATATTCCAAATGGCATATCCTGAAATTCTTGTCTTTCTCCTGGGAAGTATGGAGAACCATTTCACATTAAACAAGGACATGGACAAAGGGGACAGTCAATTGCACCTGAACAGGATGCTGGAATCGATTTTAAGTCCTAATGCAGCCAAACCTGAGAGACAGCAGTTAAAAGCAAAAACAATTTGGCATTTATACAGGTTTTAAATTCTACTGGACTATGAGAATATAAAAGTTGACCAGTACAGTATTTTTTAAAACACAAATTTAAGATACTTTGAGCTTGGAGTTTTTCACCATACGTTAAAAATATAAAAGAATATGTACCGAAACCAGATGGTTTGGGCATGTTGGGAAATGGAGGAAGGCAATTTGTCTGGCACTTAACATCACCAAATGCACAGATCGCTCACTCAAGTTGAACGCTGTCCAACCGAGTTAAATTAAACAGCTCAGCAACCTCGACTGATATAATCTGGGAATCCAGGGTGTGCTAGTGCCTAGGTGTCTAGCAATCTGTTTACATTTAAGTTGAGGCTTAGTAAAGGCACCAGAAAATGTGAACACAGTCAACAACAGCAGTAGGGCACCAGCAATTAACTTCATCGTTCCATTTGAAGCTACAGGGATCATCTTGCATTTAAGCGTTTCTAAAAGTTTTGCACTGATTGACATTCAAAGCTGTTCGAAATAGGGCACCTACTGTTTCGACCTGCAACTCTTTTGAAGACATTCTGGAATAAACTTTCTGCTGAGTGCTAGCTGTGGCTCAGATTGACCCTATAATCCTTTCGCCTTGAAGGGGACTGTTGTCACTTACTTGACCACTAAGCAGCCTTGCTCTTTGCTCCAACCAGTGACCGAATTCAATTTGATAGTAAACAGTCAGCTCCAAAGCACTGTAAGGACCTAAACACCAGTCAAAGACCTCCAATTAAGAAAAACATTAATGCTATACTAAATTATCAGGGCTTTTGATTACAAGGCACGTGAATTCTTATCCATGTTTCAAATAACGAAAGCCAAGTTCTAAACTAGTAAGAAAGGATATGAAGAAAATGTTCAAAACCTCTGCCAAAGAGAGTGAAAAGGAAGCTGGCACACGCTTCACATTTACCAACAGTCTGGGGGAGACGAGCAGAGTAGCAGGAGACACATGCGTGATACAGGTCACCATGTCTTGCTTTGTGCACTGTTCGCTATCATGTGCGACCTTTCCGTAAGAATATTTGAGGTTTATACATTATCATGGACTCTAAAGGTATTAAGAAAATAAATTGCGTGTGAAGTTACACAAAAAGTGATTACTGTACAGTACTCTCCTCAGGAACGATTAACGTCTAACTAGATTTGCAGTATTACTAAAAACTCAAACCACAGTATGAATGCTATTGTTTCTCTTGTCATTTTTTGGTGAAAAGGGTAAAAGGTTTTGGGGTCCAGAACAGATCATAATCTTTCCCCATAAGAAATAATGGAAAAGTTTTTTTTTTTTTTAGGAATTTTCACTATACGACTGTTACTGGGAACAAATTACGTTCCTAAAGACAGCAATGAGTTCATCAGTAACTCGTAAGAAAAGTCATGAGTTTTTTTACAGGTGAAAACAGGTGGAAAATTAAAATACAAGACCACGTGTCTACAAACATGCACACCAAGACGAGCCAGTTTCACACCGATTCAGTAGGTGGCAAACTGCTTTATTTTATTGAGGCAGCAAACCATAAATATCGGAAGGATGGTACGAAGTTCTGTGCGGAAAGCTGAGGGCGAGATGCATTCCTGAACGCAAATGGCTTTTTTGTGCGGTTCTGCTTCTGTTTTTTTCTTTTTGGCTCCTGTTGATTGTGCGGAGTGGCTTCTAAAGACCTTGGTCCTGTAGCTGGCAGGAGAGGTGAGCTTAGAAGTCTGGCCCGTTCTTCTTTAATTTGTTGTAATCCATGTTTACGGCAAAGAACTGCAAATGATAAAAAAAACATTGTATTCAGGGCTTGGTTTGTAAAGAGCTGAAATAACCATGCAGGCCCCTACAAAAAACAGCTCTAGAAGATCAGCTGCAACTTCATCTTCAGTTAAGACAAGGGGATGGTAAAAATGATAAAGTAACTTCCTAGTTGGCGCCAGGTGCCAAAAGCTAAATGAGTCGTGCAATGCCTTCTGGCGTTTTTCAACAGCAACATGAATTCGATTTTTCAACGTCAAAAGCCAACGCTTGATGACTTTCACAAAACAAAGGTTGCATTGAGTTCAAAACCTAACAGCTGAATCACAACTTTAAAATAACTTAACCACAGAAAGGGCAGTGCTTCTGCATTGCTGTCCGTGCACAAGGTACGAATGTACAAGTGGCATGGGTGTACATTCGGCTGCACCATGACAAAGCACCTCGGGTGGTCTGAGCAAAACAGGACGACAGAAGCTCAAATGCCATCTGAGCAGCTCCAGGCTTTCCACCGAGCTTACTTTCCAATACCGAGACCCAGTCTTCTGTTGTGAGAGTGGAAACAAATGGGATTTCATGTGAAAACATCATGATCCCAAAACACATTTAGTAGCACTGACAAACTAGACACAGCAGAAAAATGCCAACTGACATCATTTATCAATGTAAAAAATGTTTTAAGGGCTGAAAATGGAGTAATATTGATTTGGTACCATTTTTTCTTCAGCAATTTGAATACAGAGGCTGGATTTTAACCAAGTTAAGGCCATAGAATTACCTTGTAACACCACAGACCATGGGCAGATATGAAATTTTGACAACTGAAAATAACCTAAAAATAATCTTCCTTGCAGGTCTCAAGGCTGTATCAGACACAGTGATGTGCATTTCACTGGTTTCAGGCTTAAGAACTGTGTCCTATAAGTCCTACCATGTGAAGCAATGCTTCTGGTGGAATTAATACTGTGGCGTCTTCATACACGTTTTGAGCGCGACTGTGAGAGAACATCGAGCATCATGCTCAAGCTTAGGACCAGCAAGGTCCTTCACTGCCATGTGTTGTTCTTTCAAGACACAACATGGGCAGACATGAGAAACAGTTGCCAAAACCATTACATACTACCCAATTCCTTGAGCAATAAGAGAACAGAATTAAAAGCCCTTTGGATTAAAATGACTCCCAACAGGCACACAGCGACACCCTGAGGTGCAGCTCATGAAGGGCTTTTACAGGCTTCCGTGCCGATGAGTTACTGAAACAGCCGTACCTTGTACCGGTCATTGGGCCCCAGTTTGTTCCAGGGCTCAGGGTTATTCTTGCGATCCCAGCTGCAAACAAATTCAATTCACAGTCATTCGGTGAAGTCAATTCGGTCCACCTGCAGATTTAGAAATCCCCAAAACCACACTCAACACACAAGCTCTACAAAGTGCCCCAACATTCCCCGTTTCACTCCTTGATAGCCCAGAGCACTTCACGGCTCACTGCCGTGATGAAGGAGTGCATCACTAAGACTCCGGGGGAAGTCCATCCGGAAAAGGATACCAAAACATATGTTTGGAACCGATGTCTGAAACTGGTGAAGTCACCTGGAAACTATACCAATTCCCACCCGTATCTGTGACTTGTAAACTTGTAAGCAGAGTTTAATACTACATTAAGAGTGAAGAACTAAAAGAAGGGTGCTATGTGTCTGCACATCTGGCAAGATTAACATCTGGTTCTGTACTGAAACCTCGCCCTACACGAATGGCGCACACAGACACACTTACGAGACATCAGGATTGCGCAAGGCCAGGCGTGCAAGGTAGAGGGTGGCCCCCACCGCCCCTGAGCCGATGAAGACGAACAGGGGGATCAACTGGAAAAAAGGTAGAAAAAGGTCAATAATTTCAACCTGCAGCTGCTCTCACAGTTACCTCCGAGGCTTCTGTGCGAGATGACGTCTTTGGCACATTTAGAAATTGGCCTTTCTTGCTGCTTCACAGTGCTGAACAGTCGTCATCTGACATTACTCATGTTTTAATTATGATGGGGTTAATAAAGAACCACAGTCGTGCCAATCTAGTACAGTACTCTGCACAAGCTGGCTGTTCACTAGTACATCTCAGCACACAGAAAGAGAATGAAACACCTTCTGTTTAATTACCTAATTTAAACAGGAACTCAGACCACAACAGTGGCACCAGCACACAAGAAGAAACTAAACTGGACATCAGGCCGAGCGATGAAGAATCAGCTCAACCACGCCTTTAGAAGATGCGATGGAGAATGCTGACCAGCAGAAGGCAGTCTATTGTTAAAGAGCCTTTCCAGGTTTTCAACACTTGTAGGACATGAAGGGTTATTTAAAGGTCAAACACACTAGCAGGGAGGGCGGTGTGTACACTTTCACGGTTATCACGTTACCAGCTCTTGTACTAAAAGCCTAGTCATGCCAATACCAAAGAGCATTTGTCGTTTTTATGGACAGACACCTGGAACTTTGTAAAGGAAACATCGGTACTTCTGCTTCACCGTTACAATCTGATCAAGGGCCAGTTGCACGTTGATCAATTCTTGGTGTTTTCTAACCAACATAAGAGTGTGAATAAACCTATTACTTGTTCCATAAGAGTGTGACGTCTACCTCGGATAGGACTCCTCTTCACCAGACATACAAATTTCGAGCGAGCCTTTCATTATAAGCTTACAAGCTGCACATTTCTACAGAAACTGATGTTTTAATGTTCTGCATTGCAAACCACGCCACAGACTACTCCTGTCTTTGCCTGGGACGACCTGAAGTAAGCAGGCCAGCCAGCCACGGTGATCTTGTGACGCTAGCACCAGAATACCATCGGTTACCTTTACAACGGGGATACTGCAGTACTTCTCAAATATGCATAAAGAAACACTGCTTTATTTTCTTAACCCTTTCTTACATTTATATAAGTGCTTATTACAAATATTCATGATGGTTTACACATCACCCCACTTAGACAAACAACGTTACCCTTTGACCGTCAAGAGTTCAATGTCACACTCTTTGTAGATATCTCTTAACTACTAGATCTATACTTACGCTGGGGTGCTTTCTAGCCTGGACAACCATAGTACGGAACATTTTAAAAGTAGTTTGGTTTTCTTTATCCCAAAGAAACGCAAAAAAAAAAGTGCCGTCTGCGAGGCCTTTCGACGCGTCTGTGGTATACTCTCCTTCTTACTTTTCCTGTAAAGGACTGCGGTGTGGGTCCTTCGCCCAGAGGCAGTCTTATAATATTCCAGTTGAGAGAGCAATCACGGGTTTATGAACCACAAATTAAAAAACGACCATGACGTCTAATTTCTTATAGATATGTATTTTAATTTCTGTTTATTATTTATAGTATTTGTTATTTTAAAATTCTATTTCGAGCACTTTAAGTCAGGCAGTCTAGCGGACAGCTAAATATCGGTGCTCTGAAAAGCCCCCTGTTCTGTTCCGGAATGACAGACGCAGTAGGAGAATGTCTGGTGGTTCGTAGCGGCTGGTGTTTAGCTCTAGGGCTTATATTTGACCATTCGTTTCTCAATTAAGGGTTTTGAACACGCGTTTTGCTCCATCAGTAATTAGTTTTGTCTTTGACTGTATTCCAGTTTGTATTTAAAAAATAAAATGTGATGGAATTTGCATAACATTTAATGGGTGTTTTGATGCCAAAAATGAGCTAGCAGTAATATTAAAAGATGTCCGCCTTTTTGCATTAAAACTTTCCGTTAAAGACAGGCGTTGCTTCCACCCCCGTTTGTGATTTTAAGGGGCAGGAAGGATGTCAAAGGAGGGACATGAAGTACGTTATTACCTGAACACTCAGGTCTTCCTCACTTCCTCAAGTGGGGATCGTGAGATCAGTCGCCGGACTGGCACGGCGACAGCAGTGTTGCTGTTTGCGGGGTTTAACAGGTCTATATACACTACGGTATATCCCCATTCTGACCTATGGCGATAAACGCCAGATAGTGACAAACAAGACAGGACTGTGAACTGACACCGACAAAAATGAAGTTTCTTTGGTGAGATGTTGGGGTTACCCTCCTTGACCGATTGAGAAACTCGGAAAGGGAGTTAGGCTCATGATTCCTCCGGAGTGAGGAATCTTTGTGTATTATTTGTCCCTATTTTGCATTGTAAATATTATATTGAACATTCAATAACTAAAAATAGTTATCCAATTAGCGTCAAATACCGCGAGGTTTAAACCTTGGTCAAGAAGTGGTATTTTTCTCACTGATTAATTCAAGTGTACGTAATAATATTTACATTTCTCCGATGTTTTCCAATCTTGCCCGAAAAAAACCCATATAAGCAATTGCGACTTTATTACGTCTCTTAATTTAAATCCTATTTCTTTCAATGGCATATCCTAACATTTTGTTTGCTTATTATTTCCTTCCCACATTAGAAGATGCAAACGTCAACACAAACCTAAGTCTTTTTTTTTTTTGTAAGTAGCCTCTAATAGCTCAGTGATTCCCATTTTCTGTTTAAAGCTACTGCTTTTGCTCTCAGCACTTAAAAACGCTAGGACGTTTATTTATGGTGAGGTCTCGTACCAATAATAAAACGGTCAAACGATTGGGAGAGAAAAATGGTGGCTGGAGCACTTGAAATATATCATGGGAGCTGGGAGGAAGAGTAATGTGAATCAGCAAGAAACCTGTGAGAGAGATCCACGGCAGTAGGAATACAGCACTCCTCTGGGTACTTATCAGAAGCTGGTACAAAGTAGCCCATCTAGGACTACAGTGAGTTTAAGGCCGAAGTTTGTCCCACACCCTATTAAACACTGCCTTCACTTATTTTGCCTATTGTCCCAATAACGGTGTTAATATTGTTCATATCTGGTGTCTCCCATCCTCATCCCAGAGAGCCGCAATCCAAAACACCAAAGCTTCAGACCCCTATAAAAGGGCCGCCCTTAAAGAAACAATCCGTCTATTTCCGGCAAGCAACAGGTACATGGCAGGGTACGCCCTGGACAGCAGGGCAGGACAGACACACTGCGGTGGCCAGTTTTCCCAGAAGCCTACTACCAGGATGCTTTTGGACTGTGGGAGGAAACTGGAGCACCTGGAGGAAACCCACACAAACCCCAGAGAGAACATGCAAACTCCACACACATAACATCACAGGAACCGAACCCAGGACCCCGGTGTGGCAAGGCAGCAAAGCTGACCACTGCACCGCCATGCCACCCTTAAATGGAGCAATTTCATCCTATTCTTAAGGTGTTAAGAGTCATCAGATTGCAACCCAGGAGTCCAGGAGCAGAGGGCACCGGATGTACTGTAGAGTTAAAGGGCTGCCATGCCCTATCAGTGTTGCCATCTTATTGCCAGATTTCAGAGGCTAAGCACGGCTGAGCCTGGTCAGTCTGGGGTGGGATTTCCTCTGCCAAGAAAGAATGCTGCTGCAAGAGCTTAGCCAGAATTTCAAATGCCAAGTACCAATATGGCGACCAGGGACGCCGTGCTTTTGAAGGTGCCATCCTTTCAGTGAGAGGCTAAACTGAGGTCCCAGCTAAGTCGTTGTTACAGATCCCATGGCACTATTCAGAAGAGAGGTGTTAACCCCACTGTCCTGACTGAATGTCATCTTGGGCTTGTACAATCTGGTCTCTCTAACGTGCAGCCTTAATTCAACTGGTGAAGCATTTATTCACTTCTCCACCTGATATGCTGTTTAGTAACTCCTATATGCACAATTTGGGATCCTGTGGAATGAAAGTATTTAAGTATGTAAGTGCAATTACTTAAAAATTTGCAAATGAGGCAGATGAAGTGCAAATCAAGTCCAGTGCACCTCTTTGCAAACAGCCCCTGTCTGATGGGCCTCCTGTAATAGCAGGATTGCCACAAATTGTAATGACTGCTAAATCTCAAAGGACTAAAGACCCAAACATTTGAAAGAAATAAAAAGAAATGAATATAAGCCAGTCTTTTTTACCTTTCCGAGTAGTTCTCCGTGTCCAGAGACAGAGGCGGGAGGCTGCAGGGAGTCAGAGATCCCATCTGCCCAGCCCACAATCCAGCACGTGAACAGATGGGCTTGTTGATAACAGCTGCCCTAAATGCGCTTTAATGTGCAAAGTTTGATCTACAGAGAATTTCCTGCTCTGACTTAAAAGAGATCGTTATGCAAATGAGACAGTTTTCAGAAACTGATGAGAGGGAGAGAGAGAAAGACTTCCTTTTTTTTTTCCAGAGAGCTAAATAACTCGGAGCGTCTTATGCAGTATTTGCAGAAAGTTAATTACTGGAACAAGCACTCCGGAACCCACACAGAGAGCTTCCCAAATCCGCTCCCTCAAACTTCACCAAGCTCGTTTTTTCACACTTGGTTGGCTGTAAAACAAGCATCCGGTCCCTGGGTGGCAGATACACAAAGGATAAGGAGACAGGAGCAAGTAAGCATTAAGGTCAGACTTCCTATGACACGAGGTGTTACACCAGGGCTAGTTCATGTAAAAAAAATTCTTGGCTTCTAAATTTACAAAAAAACACTCATATCCTTTGTTTTTTCAACCTGCAAACTCAGTCTATCATGGCAACCACTTGGAACAAGGCAGGGTCCAGTCTGGACGGGACTCCAGTCGATTGCAGGACACACACTCACACCAGGGCCAGTTTCCTCAGAAGCCGTTTAACCCACCAGAATGTCTTTGGACTGATGGGCTCTTTCTGGACTTTGACAAACTCGAATACCTCCTTCCCACCTTCTTTCTACCCGACTGCAGCGCCTAAGAAGCAATGCACATCTGCACTGTACTTTTTGCATGGTCTACCATGTTTTTTTCAGGACTACATATTAATAGTTCTGGTTCTATTATTTATTGCGTTGTAATGTGCTGTCTTCTATTGTGTGGCTTTGCTTGTTGTATTGTGTATGTCCTGAGAGATCAGCATGAATAAGAATTCCAATATACATTTGGCAATAAACTCCTCTACTACAGAGTAATCGGGGTTATAGGTCAAATGTGTTTGCACTGTGCAGTGAGGCCATTGAAAGCGTGGACACAGTATTTCACGTACGCAGAGCTGGAATTGTAATCGTTTCCCCGACACACACCTGTGTTGTGAATGTGAGTAGTCTGTCTGCATGAGTGTCTCTGTCAGACCCTGTGACACTGCTGGGATTGTGCCTCCCCTCCTTGTGCTTGCTGCTGTTCTGCCTATGAATTATCTTTGCATTAAGGCTTGGCCTTTGAATGTGACAGGGTATCTGTGTACTATAAAGTCATAATTCACGATGTGCTGAAAAGAAAGAATCCAGTTTCCTGCTCTAGCTGTCCTTTAACTGTTGTTGCCTGTGATGATCTGCTTTTGGAATAACGTGATGCCTTTCAGGATTTTTAACACCCGGATCAATTATCCAATGTGATCTCTTCTCTTCTGGGATAAACAATAATCAATCCCCTTAAATCCCTTAAGTGTAAAAATGTTTTCATAGTAGGAACCAATCAGGTTGTTCTCCTTCGTTCTGCCTTTAGATCAGCTATATCTGTGCCAAGCGGTGACCAAAACTCTGGACATGGCTGGCTTCCCACACTCTCATTCCTCCCTAGTCCAGTTACTGGTGTATGGCACTGAGCTCTCGTGGTTGACTTACAGAATTAAAGAGATCACTCTCTGGGTCTAAAGCTCATCAAGAGAACCCAACAACCAAAAAGCTCCAAACTAAAGGAATGAAGAAGTAAGGACGAGAATAGTACTCCTGCTCTAATTAAAGAGCAGAAGGTGGTGCAGGGGGAACATTCCTGTCCAGATGCGCAAAGTCTCCTTCAAAACACGCTGGCTTCTGGGATGCTCTCCTGGTGTTTTGCATAGACACACGTCTTAATATGATAAAAATCAAAAGCAAAATCCAGGCCTCTGTCTCAGGCTCTAATTAGCCGCCTTGAGTATTGAAAGGACGCGCTTGTCGCCTCCCCCCCAGTCCCTCGCGCTCAGATCCGACGAGCACACAATCGGAGGGGTGAGCCTCACGCCCCCACGCCCACACGCCTGCCGGACTCCGGGCTCCAGGGCCGGGCGGGTGTCTCCAGGCCCCGGAGGGGAGGCCTGGCAAACACAGCCACGATCCAGGGGGATTATCCAGACTTTGCTAAGAAATTCAAATGAACCCAGGGAATGTGCATAATCAGCTACTGGAGCAAAGTGTGCATTTCTGGTATTTGTGCTGCACAGTGTATATATGAAAAGCTGTGCTTGTTTGGCTGCAGCTAACTGCAGGTCATTCTAACAAAAGCAGAAGCCCTAGCGTCATACAAGATACCTTTTATAATTCAGTTTCAGAAAACCAATCTGCTGTTCAAGGTAATGCAGTGCAGCCACAGCAGAACAAAGGTTAACAACAATCTCGTGTCTGCAGCTCCTGCCATTCTGGGTTTCTATAACACAAGTGCCATCTATTGATGGAGAATCATAGCACACCAGAAGCTTTCAAAACAACAAATCAAAGCAACAAACACACCTGCTATAGTTTTTCTAAATAAATATGCAACAAAATGGATGGTATTTCAAGTTGTTTGTCTACAAAAGTCATTCACTCACCACATATTGAAACAAGGTTTCTCATTTCTATATTAAGTATACTTTTCAATCAACACACCATTAAACATCTTCAGAATGTAAAGACTGAGATCTATCAACAGTAACTGTAATCCCCAGAGCAGGACACCAGAGGTGCACAGTCAGCCTGAAAGATGTTTGAGTACAGCGGAGTACAGTTGAATATATAGTAGCTCCAGTGTTACAGGGGTATAAATATTTCTGCATGTATGAGTCGTACTCGTACATTGTTTGGACAGCAGGATTGTCAGTGGATTCTGGCATTGATTGCCCATGACTCTTTTTATGGCATGAAAATATCTGTCTGCCATAGAAAAGTGTCCTTTAGGGTTAATATTCTTACATTACCCTATGACAAATCCCTGCAGAATGACTCGTAAAGAGAAGGAGAGTTGCCTTTTTTAAAAATTACTTAGAGACAGGAAATGATCACAGTCACATCTATTTTTCTGACTGTCTTTCATGAAAACTCTTAATTTTGTAACTAAACATCCTTCCTAAAGGTTCCAAGAGTCCACACACACTATTGCTGAGCACTGCCTGTTGGCATTCATTAATCATGTGAATGTGCTAATCATGCCTCCCCTCAGCAGCCTGAGGACGATTTGGCTTGGAAAGTTGCCAGACTCCCACCTGTCTTGGTTCTGTT